GGGGGGGGGCAGGCTCCAGCGCGTTCATGAGGGAGAATTCTGTGGGGATGAGGGAGGTGTCCCAAGCCAGGGGTGACATCTGTGCTTCTTCCTCACCAGGCAGAAGGGGAGAAAGTGTGGGGTGCTGTTCAAGCTGTCAACAGGCACCAGCTCACCTCTCCTGGCCAGTTCTCTGACCACACTCTTAGTGTCCCTTGCAAACAGGGACGATACGTTTCTGGAGGGGTGAAGAGGCAGGTGTCATACACAGCTGTGGGGACCTTGGTGAATGCCATCAGCTGGACTGAATCACGAACAGAAGTGTGAGGAATGGGGAGCCCTGAGCAGATTTCTCCCAGGGCTGGGTTCTGAAGTCAGCAAGGTGGGTAGAAATCACAGATGGTCAAAACCACCCCCAAAATACCCTTTAAATCATTTCCCTCCTGCGGGCATGGGACCCGGAGGAGCTCCAGGGCCAAGGACTCCCTTCTCTTAATTTTAGAACACGTGTTCCCTTGGGAACTAAATCCCCCTGCTACTTGGTTGCCTCATCTGTGAAGTAGAAATTTACCCAGATTTATATAAAATAGAGATAATTATTATCTATAACAATACTTCCTCTAGTGGACTGTTACGAGGACTAACAATGTTGATGTTTGTAAAGTACATACCACATGGTAGATGTTGATAAGCTGTCACCCTGGGTGTTCTGGCCTTGCTGTCTTTTCTGAGGTAGTGGGGACCCAGGTGGGTGGGGGGAGGGAGAGAAGAGATGGGGGTGGCATGGGAAGAGTACAGAGATTTCCTTTCTCTTCTCCCTCCTCTTAGCACGCATGAGTTTTCTGAGTAGAAGCATCTAATGTGAGCCTCTCTTTCCCCCTCCTCTGGGCCCCCTGTAGCATTTTGTTCCTGTGTCTTTGGTGGCCTTTGCCATTTGTGTGAGCACCTTACTGAGGTAGGCCTGGGAGCACTGAAGGTTTGTGAGCAGGGCAGCGACACTGCGAACCAGTGCATGTGTTTTAGGACTAGCACTCACAGCCCACTGGAAAGGGGAGACTCGAGGAGCTTATGACCACGGTCCAGGGGAGTGTGACCACAGGCTCTAGTGCCCTGTGGGGGCCATCCTTGTCTTCAGCCCCTGGGAAAGGAGGCAAGTGAGGGGCCAGCTTCTCTATCAGGCAAGGTGCCCGGGGGCCCACAAAAATGTTTTAATTTACTTTATTATTATTATTTTTTAATTTGTTTATTTTTTTTTTTAATTTTTTTTTTTCAATGTTTATTTATTTTTGGGACAGAGAGAGACAGAGCATGAACGGGCGAGGGGCAGAGAGAGAGGGAGACACAGAATCGGAAACAGGCTCCAGGCTCCGAGCCATCAGCCCAGAGCCTGACGCGGGGCTCGAACCCACGGAGCGCGAGATCGTGACCTGGCTGAAGTCGGACGCTTAACTGACTGTGCCACCCAGGCGCCCCTAATTTGTTTATTTTTGAGAGAGAGAGAGAGAGCGCAAGCATGCGGGAGGAGCAGAGAGAGAATCCCAAGGAGGCGCTGCACTGTCAGTGCAGAGCCTGATGCTGGGCTCCAACTCAGCAACCATGAGCTCATGACCTGAGCTGAGACCAAGAGTTGAATGCTTAACCTATTGAGTCACTCAGGCACGCCTAATTTACTTTAAAATCAGAAGAAAGAAATAAGCTTGTGGGTCTAAGAGAATGGCTTACTACACAGTATTAATATATTCATCTTTATGCCAGTAGTCTTTTTTTTTTTCTTTTCTATCCAACTTAAAGCCAAAGAGAAGCATACATATTGTTGGCAATGGGCCAACAACAGCCTTAAATGATAATATTTGATATTTCCACAGAGGAAGGGGTGCCGGAGATTGACCGCGGCCTGGGGAAGTGGGAGCCGACTGGGCCCCCTGACGGGCCTGTAGGGGGCACCCAGAAGCGCATCAGCTCAAGCTTGCCTAAGGAGCTCACCTAGGGAGCTCTCCTAGGGGTAGCAGTGGGGGAACCTGGGGAGTTGGTGCTGAGGTCAGGTTATGAGCAAGAGGACCCTGCCGGGACCGCCTGGGGGCAGCAGCAGCTAGGATTTGGGGAGGGGAAGTGGGATGCTCTCCAAAGGATAGAGGGCCCAAGAAGGAAAGGCCTGGAGAGGTTGGGAGAAGCTGTGGACCTTGTTGCAGGCCTGTCCTCCTGCAGGGATCCCCCTGCCTGCGCCCCCTGTCCAGCCACCCCTCCAGGACCCGGGGTCCCTGGCTCCCCATGCTTACCTGAGGCCCCGGCTGGCTGTACCAAGGACAGTGGCGGGCCGTCCAGGCCTCCAGGTTGAGTCCCATGCAGGAATTCTCTAGAAACCATACCCAGCGCCACAGGGTTTTCAGCCCTACATGGGGGCGATCTTCCAGCTTTCAGTAAGGGCATATGGACTTACATTAATACTTATGCTTGCTTTCTTTAATCGAAGCCATATATTCATGTAACTTAATCAAATTGTTGTAAGGTGTCTGGGTGACTCGGTTGGTTAAGTGTCTGATTTCATCTCAGGTCATGATCTCCGCGTTTGTGGGCTTGAGGCTGTGACCTCCTCAGAGCCTAGAGCCTGCTTTGGATTCTATGTCTCTCTCTCTCTCTCTCTCTCTCTCTGCCCCTCCCCCACTTGTGTCTGCACTCGCTTGCTCGCTCTCTCTCTCACAAATATTTAAAAAAATAAACAAGAATCAAATTGTTCTACGTGAGTTTACCCTTCCTTCCTTCCTTCCTTCCTTCCTTCCTTCCTTCCTTCCTTCCTTCCTTCCTTCCTTCTAAGATTTTGTTTTTTAATGTAATCTCTACCCCTGTCGTAGGGCTGGAACTCACCATCCTGACATCAAGAGTCCCATGTTCACCATGGGACTGAACCAGTCAGGTGCCCCTCAGAAAACTATTAGGCAAAATTTTTTGAAAGATTTGAGTTTTATTTTTAACCTCAGATCCCACCTCATTTCCAGCTCCACTTTCCTCCTTTGCTGGTGTGTTTCGTTGCTTGTTTTGGTAATTTCCTCTTATCTCTCGTATAAAGGGCATTCTTGAGATATAATTAATACACCATATAGTTCACCCATCGAAAGTGTGCAGGTCAGTGGTTTTTAGTATGTTTACAGAATTGTGCTGCCATCACCATGCTCTGTTTCAGACCATTTTCTTTTCTTTCTTCTTTCCTTTTCTTTTCTTTTTGAAAGAGAGGGAGTTCAAGTGAGTGAGGGGTAGAGAGAGGGTCGGGAAGAGAGAGAATCCCATGAGGGGCAGAGAGAGACAGAAGGAAAGAGAGAGAGAAGAGGGGCTCACCTGAAGCGGGTCTCAAAATCACCTGATGTGGGACTCAGACTCACGAATCATGAGATAATGGCCAGAGCCAAAGTCAGATGTTTAATGACCGAGCCACCCACGCACCCTAAACAATTTTCATTACCCCCCAAAGAACCTCCCCACCATAACCACTGATGTACCTCTGGTCTCTGTGGATTTGCCTATTCTAAATATTTCTTGTGATTGGGATAATATAACGTGTGGCCATTTGTGTCTGACATCTCTTAATAATAAGCTTGCTCAGTTGTAGGCACCATCCATGGACTTGCACCAGGGAAGATGAGGATTTAGGGTCCCCTTTGCTCTATACCACACACAAATCCTATCCCTATCTTCCCAATAGGGCGACATCACAATCATGACTATGCAAACTCTACACAGATATCAATAAACCATAATTATTTTTCCTTTCCTGTAGGGTTTCTGTTTTATTTCTCATTGTCATTTTTTATTTTTCCTTCTATTTTCTATGTGTTTATATCTAATTAAATTCAAACTGCCAGTTCCTTAAATCTTATACTAATATCCCAGATTTGAGATATTCTATGATTTCCTCTTCCTGGAAGACTTCCTCTCCCAGAGGCTTCCTTATCTGCTCAGATGAAGACTATTGTCCTCTGGCCTCAATACTGCCATCTTGGGAATCCCCCTGTCTCTATTCTACAACTAAATCTTCTTTTCCCTGTAGCCAACATCTTCCTCCTGGGTCTCTTTCATTTTACTGTATCACGTCCTCTTATATTTTCTTGAAAATAGAACATAGTAATTTTAAAAATCTTTGTCTGAAAATGCCTTATTCTGCCTTCAAACTTGATATAGACTTCTAGTTGGAAATAATTTTACATCGAAATGTCGGAAGTCTTTGCTTCATTGTGTCTAACTTGCTGTTTGGCTGTAGTTTAAAGGCATTCTTATATTTGGAGTCGGTTAAGTCTCTGACTTCAGCTCAGGTCATGATCTCTCAGTTTTCGAGTTCGAGCCTCACATTGGGCTCTCTGCTGTCAGCGTAGAACCCGTTTCAGATCCTGTGTCCCCGTCATCTCTCTCTGCCCCTTCCCTGCTTGTGTTCTCCCTCTCAAAATAAATAAGCATTAAAAAAAAATTGGGTAAAAAAAAAAAGCATAAAAAAAAAATTTTTTTTTACCCAATTTTGTAAAGTCACTCATTTTGTAAATGAACTTTGTTCTTTTTCCTGGGTTTTTACTTTGTTCTGCATGTTCTGAAACTTCACAAAAAGGTGTTTTGGTATGGGCCCATTTTCATCCATTTGTATCAGGTACATGATGGGCTCTTTAAAAAAAATTTTTTTTTTACATTTATTCATTTTTGAGAGACAGAGCACAAGTGGGGGAGGGGCAGAGAGAGAGACAGAATCCAAAGCAGGCTCCAGCTCTGAGCTGTCAGCACAGACCCAGACGCAGGGCTCGAACTCACAAACCGCAAGATCATGACCTGAGCCGAAGTCGCACGCTTAATTAACCAGCTGAACCACCCAGGCACCTCATGATTGGCTCTTTAAATCCAGAAATTCCTATCCTGGTTATGGGAGATTTTGTTGATTTATTTTGTTGATGATCTCCTTTCCATTTGTGTGTGTGTGTGTGTGTGTGTGTACGTCCTCTCGCTCTCTTTTTTTTTTTTTTTTTTTTTTTTGGTGGCGGGAGCTTGTTTTATCTGGCTCTTAGGCTTCCTAAACTGCTCTTCTATGTTTCTTATTTTTTCTCTTATTTTTCATCTTATGACTTTTTACTCTACTTTTTGGGAAAGTTCCTCAACTTTACCTTCTGATCTTTTCTATGGAGTTTTTATTTATGTCATAATAGTTTTAATTTCTAAGACCTTTATTTTTTTTGTTCTCTCAATGTTCCTTTATTTAAAAAAAATTTTTTTTTAACGTTTATTTATTTTTGAGACAGAGAGAGACAGAGCATGAACGGGGGAGGGTCAGAGAGAGGGAGACACAGAATCTGAAACAGGCTCCAAGCTCTGAGCTGTCAGCACAGAGCCTGACGCGGGGCTCGAACTCACGGACCGTGAGATCATGACCTGAGCTGAAGTCGGACGCTTAACTGACTGAGCCACCCAGGCGTCCCTCAATGTTCCTTTAAAAATAGCTCAAAAAGCATAATTTGGAAAAGTCACACATAATGATCAATTCAGAGGTATAAATTTTGGGGAGTTAATTTTTTGAAGCAATTCTGAACATAAAATGTTTTCAGAATGGAAAAAAAACCCTCTCATTTTTAACATTTTACCATCTAATCTTGGTGATGATCTCTCTGTTCATTATTTTATTTTTTGATGCATTTCAAAGTGAGTTACAGATATCAGTTAGCCTCACCCCAAACAATTCAGAATGCATATTGTTAACTAGAGCAAATATATTTTTACATTGTTTTGGAGTAGCATTTATATATAGTGAAATGCTCACATTTTTTTTTAATGTTTATTTATTTTTGAGAGAGCATGAGCAGGAGAGGGGCAGAGAGAGAGGGGTACAAAGGATCCCAAGCAGGCTCTGACAGCACAGAGCCCATAGCAGGGCTTAAACTCACAAACTGTGAAATCATGACGTGAGCTAAAGTCGGATGCTCATCCAATGAACCACCCAGGCTCGCATCTTTAGATACTATTCGATGAGTTTTGACAATTGCATAAACCTTTATCAAGATACAGATATTTCTATCACCTCAGAACATTCTCTCAAGTTTCCACTGATCCCTGGCTCCATCCTGCCTAGAACGGTAGACGTGGTGGCCCTAGACCCCCCCTGAGCTCATCAGGGACACTCTCAGCATAGACTGGAGTGGGGCCAGGCCTCTCTGGACTTCCTGCCAGCTGCTTCAGCAATGACAGGGTCCCATACAGGGCAGACAGGGGCTGCTTGGTTTCCAGATGCCAGGTTGATCTGGGGCTATTCAGTTCCATTTTCAGCCCACACTCCTCCAGGAGGCCATAGGTGATGGCCAAATCCTCACCCTGGAGTGGGGCAAGGAGCTCGGGTTTGAGGGTAAAGGGGATGTCCCAGCAGTATTTGAAGTTGGGCTCCAGGATGCTCCTTACCTAGAATAACCAGTATCAGATGTTACACGTCAGCATTTGAGGTCGGGAAGAGAAAATTTGTCCCAAGAGGGTCATGCAGGGTAACTGAAAGGGACAAAAGCTTTGGAGTCAAGAGGGCCCAGAGTCATGTCCTGGTCATGCCCTATGGTCAGTGTAATTGTGGATACATTATTGGAAATCACTGAGCATTGTTTCCTCAGCTGCTAAATGATTTTATTAACATTTCCCTTGCAGAATAGTGGCATTTGGAATTAGATGTGTGTGTATATCCATACATGTGTGCAGTGTGTGTGTATGTATATGCATATGTCTATACACACATATATCCTTAAATATGTGTATGTGGAGAGAGAAGAGCGATTCCCAAATGGTAACTGTGTATATAAAGCGGGGATATGACTCAGGGACTCTGGGTTCCCAAACCTGGGTTCTTATATGGCTATTTTAGAACCGTGGGGGCTCTCAGCAGGGGTTGCCATGGAAACAGAGACCCTCCTGATAGATTCATACCCACTGGGCCTGTTGCCCAGAGGGAGATGCAGCCAGGGATTTCCCAGTTGCCAGAGCAGGATCCTGTCTCCCTGGCAGAAACCTGCATCATCTCTTCTTCCTCAGATTCCTTCTTAACTCTGGTTCTTTCCCCCTCTTCCCTGGACACTAGCCCCTGAGAATATCTCACCAGCTTCTGCTGCTGGAGCAGGATCCTCTTTTCCATGGACTGGGCCAGCAGATCATGTTGGGTGTCACTCAACACTGGGAACAGGGGGACATTTGGGGAAAGAAAGTGATGAAGGGTTAGATTTTCCTCTCCCCACTGTGAGCCGGGAGACCCTATGAGAGGGGAACTCTGAGGCAGAGGAATCACCCATTGGACTTTGAAGGTCAAGTTCACTTTACTGGAAAGTCCTCCTTCTACTCTTGGAATGCCTCTAGAATGCTACATAATGTGGTCCAGAGGATGGGATCTTGAGGCTGGAGCCTGGAATCTTCCACTCATAATGATCTGTTGGATGAACTTGGGCTGGTCACTTTCTAGACCTCAGACTGTTTCTCTGTTCACGTGGCAAATTTATCTCACTAAACCCTCTGGACATTTCAGAGAGGGGATATGTGAGGATGAAGATCATGATATTTGAAGGGTTTTGGAGAGATGGCGTCTAACCCATAGCTTTCACGAGGTCTGAAGGCCAAACTTGTGACTTTCCTACATTTCCCCCCAGATCATTCTTACCCATTATGGCTTCAAGGAGGTAGATGATGTGGAATCTTGCCTGGATCCATAGGTCTCTTGTGTCCGGTTGCATCTCATTTAGGATTGTGCCCCCAAAGTCATCCAAAAGATCTAAGGGGCTCCCATCCAGCTATAGGAGACCCACATTATTAGTAATAAGATATTACTACTACAACTACTACTGGTATATAATTTTGCCTGTGTCTTTTAAGTCTGTAAGTGATCAACCAAGGTGGGAGGGTCAGGGCTCTTTACCTGTCCCAGGGGATTCCTAGCAGCCCCAATATTTGGCCCCTGGCCTTGTCATTGTGCCTAGGGCCAGTGTCCCAGATTGCTGACAGCCTACTCTTTCCCCTGGCATTGCCCCATCCCTCCTCCCCTGTGTATCTTGATAGCCATATTTCCTAAACCTGCCCCTTTTACCACTTTGATCAGCCCTAGGTAGTTTTAGGAACTCCTCACCGTGTCCGTGAGGTCCTGCAGAGCCTCTCGGTTCCCAAGCTTGTTCAGGATAGTATGGAATATAGAATCCTGAGTGTCCTTTGAGAGCTGGGCCAAGGCCTCCATTTCCTGGAAAATCTCCTCATGTAGTTGCTTGAAATCTGCCCTCAGGCGTCAGCATCAAACCAAAAATGGGTATAATTCTTTGATTACAACATTCCTAGAATGATAAGCCCCTCCCCATCAAATATGAGCCCTTTTATCAACCCAAAGCATCTCTATGGATGCCATGTTTGAGCTCTGGGAACAGGCTAGAAATAATAGACTAGAAAACAGACAATCCTAGTGCTATGAAATGAGGGGAGCAGAATGCAGGGAGCAGAGATGGAGATTCTGGAAAGGGGTCATGGGAAGTAGAAGAAAATGACCAGGTGCTTATTTCTGGGACGTGTCTAAAATAACATGGATTCTGTGGTTGGGCTCTTAGAGATGAGGATCTGAGCTCTTGGCTCAGTTTCTACGTTTGTTAAATGGGGATGTTATGAGGGATTAAATGAGTTTATGTATATAAAATGCTTGGAGTAGTACCAGGTAGAAGACTTGAGCCATCCTTCTTATAATGTAATTCTACTTGTATCATCTATATCCATATGGAATTAACCAAGGAATGGATTTGGGGGCTCTCTGCTTGTCTGAGGAGACTTTGGGTGCACTCAAGATGATCTGCTGAGTGAGAGGTCACTAGAACGGACGTGCAATGACACTGGCATTTCTGTTTGGTTCACTGCTGTATCCCTAGTACTTAGAATAATGCCTGGGGGCGCCTGGGTGGCGCAGTCGGTTAAGCGTCCGA